AGGCAAAGTATTAGTCGTATGCAATGTCATGATGCATGAACTGCATGATTTTAAGATGTTCTAAAAAATAAATGAGATTTGTGTTGTATGATGCGTATGCATGCCATGATGTATGAAGATGTGATGTTTATGAATGTATCTTCGTCTAGGAAAATAAATCCTTGACGAATGTCGGGAGTTCAATTCCTGGGATGATGCTGAAGATTAGAGTTCTTCGTTTCCGCTGGGGATGATGATTGCAAGAATAAACCGGTATGAGAAGATGACTCCGTTGAGGAATAAACTTGTTGAAGAGATTACTCTGCGGGGAATTACTCTGTGGGGAAGAGATGCTTCGCTGAGGTTTTGATGATAACTCTTCTGGGGATACCGTTGATAAGCTTTGTTGGAGGATTGATGAACTCCGCTGGGGATAGGAAGAACTTCGCTGAGGACGATTCTTCCGTGGTAATTAGCTGAGGATAACCCAGTTAGACCCTGGTGGGGAATAACCTTTGAATCTGGCTGGGAAGAGCATTTTGCACTCTGCAGGTGATAAGCTTCCAGAATCTACTGGGGATAAGCTTCCAGAATCTACTGGGGAGGATGATTCAACTCTCCTGGAGAAACTTTGGACTGCCCTGGGAAATGGCTCCACTGGGGTGTCTTGTATTCTGCCAGGGAACAATCTTATATTTCTGGCGAGGAATATTAAGACTACCGGGGATGCTTTCTCAGGGACATTTGCATACTCCGCTGGGGAATATTGAGATCTTCCGGGGATACCCAACTTCCTTAAGGCCGACGGTAGACTAACTCTGCTTGGGGAGAGTGTTGCTGACTTGCTAGGGATACTGTGCCCTTTCGGGGCTTATGGGAGACCAACTCTGCTAGGGGAGAGTATTGCCGAATCTTGTCTTACTCTGGGGAGTGAAGATGTCTTGGTCAGATTCTTCATACGAATCTACCTTTGTACTTGGTGACGGAGCAACTAGATTGCTTGGACAACTCATTATTGCCCCTGTTTCTGCGGGAGAAGGCACCTGTGGAGGTGTTTGATAACTGCCGATTGACAACTCCTCTTCTGATAGGCAAGTGACGAGATGACGGGACATAGTCGTACACTTTGATCCCTAACTTTTTCCTGGACCGCCCTTTCGGGTTTTCAGTCCACCGGGATACCCATTTTTGCCCAAGCCGCCTTTTCAGGTTTTCGACTTGCCGGGTGTATAGGTTTTTTAATTTTCATCCCTTATTTTTGCCCGAACCCTTTTGGTTCGCCGGGAAGCCCTTATTTTTGCCTAGGTCAGTCGACCTAGCGGGTCTTTGATTATGCGTAGTATTTTTTTGACTATGTCCATGCTCTCAGAGTGCAGGGAGTTGTCACTGTCAGTAGTGTTGTATTGCCATACTACCAGAAGATCCTTGATCGTGCCAGATTTGTCGCTGGAATTCATGTCCAACGCCCCAAGTGACTCGGGAGGAGATTTGCCCCTAACTGTTTGGCATTAGAGAGATTCTCCGAATCTTGACTTAACTGCCCCAGCTGATTGACAATGATCATGCCATGCCCCTTGATTGGAGGTGCTTTTGTTCATTAGACATTCTTCGTGCAAACTTCTATGCTGTTCAAACAAATAGTCACATGCAAACAGTGTTATTTAAAAATGCAAAGCTTATGTCTGTCTTGAAGTTTTTGAAAATGCAGTTTTTTTTCATAAAAGCAAGTGAATTTTTGTAAAATGTGATGTCAACTCGTTATTTTACCGCAAGCCTTAAGGAGCCAGGATACCTTTTTTAACAGTATACTTTCGAACTAACCCATGCTTCAGCTAGGACTTTTAAGGGTTGTAACGTGGCCTGGTTCACGGTTTAAGAAACAAAGGATAAAGGCTCAAATTTTATTTGTACCCACCCGCTCTTCGTGATGTTCTTCAAACCTAAACTCAGCTGATCGTGCGTTAGACCTTGTTTGAGTCTTCGCTCTGATATTCTGATGATGGTTCGGATATTGACAATTTATTTTGAATAGGCAGTCATTTCTTTTTTGTTGAGGGTTTCTAGGACCTCTTTCTCTTTTTTTTTTGATTTTGTTATCCCTGTTTTTTGCCCGAACTGTTTCTTTTTGAATTTACAGTCAGCGGGATGCCCCAGTTTTGTAAGTCTCCTTCATAGGTTTTGACTTGTTGGGCTTTTGTTTTTGAAATAATGACTTCCCGTCCTTATGATTATTCAGAACCATCATCGTCATTTGTTTTGGAAGGACTCCTTTGATGCTATTCGCTGTGCACTTGGATCAACTGAGAGAACTACCTGGCCCCAGGTTATGATTAAGGGTTTTAATTTTCGAAAAGAAAAACTCCAACTTCTTTGGCTCGAAGGGGTTGACGAGGGATTATCTTCCTTATAACTCTAGTGTTTAGGAATTGAAACAATGCCTGTACCTCATCAGCGGGGTCTGTTCAAAAGCATGCTGTAGATTGTGGTATCGTTTTCGTCATCCTCCCTCAAGAGGCTTAGAATTATTAATTGAGAGTTTGAACATCAAAAAATGAAAGCAGTTTTAAGCATAGTGAACATAATTTACTTCAAAACAGACACGTGTGATGCATTAATGAAATAACAACGTTTTGACATGAATAAAATGTTTGAGCAATCAAAGAAAAATACAACTTGAACATTCGAATGAACAAAAGTTTTTCAATCCTAGCCATGTTTTGGCAAGGGAGCAGTGATCACATTGGGAGTCTCAGCAGGCTCGAATTCGATTTCCTTAGCATCGATCATATTCTGGATCTTGTATTTCAGCACCCAACAATCCTCAGTATCGTGCCCCGGGCTACCAGAGTGATAAGCACACCTCGCATCTGGGTTGTAGCTTGGAGAAGAAGTCTTTGGATTTGCAGGAGGGTTTATCATCGCAATCAGATTCATCTTCAACATGTGTTGCAATGCTTGTGACAATGGCATGTTGATGTTGGTGAACTATCTTTTAGGCTCGTCAGGCCTTCGCTGAATTCCCTTTTGCTGTGGTCGGCGTGGTGCAGAACCGGAGATCATGACTGCCCCTGCATGTTGGTCATGACGACTCTTTTGGCTATATGCAGCATTGGACTCTTTCTTCCCCGTGTAAGGCTTTTTGTGAGTATCAGAAGGTGTGGCCTCTTGAATCTTCCCAGCCTTGATACCAGCTTCTATCCTCTTACTAGTTAAGATCAGATCTGTGAACCCAGCAGAAGAATTTCCAATCAGATGGTTGAAGAACGGACCAGACAGGGTCCCCAAGAACATATCAACGAGCTCACGGTCGGTCAGAGGTGGTTGCACCCTTCCAGCAAGGTCTCTCCACCTTTGTGCATATTCCTTGAATCCTTCACCCGTCCCTAGTGACATACCCTGGAGTTGGGTACGCGTAGGAGCGAGGTCGGAATTATACTGATACTGCTTGTAGAATGCAGTAGCCAAATCCTCCCAGTTACGAATACTGGCTCCATCCAGCTGATAGAACCATTCGAGTTGAGTCCCTGAAAGACTTTCCTGGAAGAAATGGATCCATAGATTCTTGTCAACAGTGTAAGGTTGGATCATCCTTACATAGGATCTGAGATGCAGCTTAGGACAGGAAGCCCCGTCGTACTTTGCAAAAGCAGGTGCCTTGAATTTATGGGGAATCACCACCCCAGAAGATAAGCCTAGGTCTCCGAAGTCCAGGCCGGGCACTTTTCGTATTTCCATGGCGCTCAACCGGTCTTCCAGCTGTTTGTACCTGTCCTCAGCAGGAGGGTACTGTTCATCATTGTAATCTGTCTCGTTGTCGGAGACCACAGGACTAGGAACCCTTCCTCCTTGGGGACTATCTTTCCCTATAGAGGAAGTAGCCAGATCAGCCCCATTTTGTGATCCATTCCCAGATCTGCGTCTAGGATTGAACAAAACAGTTGTAGCGATAAAAAATGTAGCGGGGTAAGTCGGAGATCGAATTATTGATTAATTCGCCTCGCAAAAGCAAGAGTCGCCACCGCGCTTTATTGTTTCCAACGGAAAGGGAAAAGAGCGAAATAAAACCCTAAATATGCAATGTAAATAATAATAAAATACAAAGCGTTTTTGAAAAGAGATCTATGGTTCGGGGGTTGATTATACAAAGGGAAGGTATTAGCACCCAATGTATCTATAGTACTCTATAGGAACCTTTTGAAATATCTGTTTTATTTAAAATTGATCGCTTGATTTGAAAATAAATCGTTTTGGCTGAAAAAGGGATACGGACGGTTTTTTTTGAAGATACGACGACCTAATGTCGAAGTTTTGGCTTAAAAGGGATGAGTCTTGAAAAGGTTGAAATTTTGAAGAAAGGTGAATATTTGAGGAAAATCAACCTAAGTTTTTAATGAATGAGAGTATTCGCTCGATCATTTTTGAGGACATGAAGTCAACAAAAAATTAGACAATTCCCTTTGGATTGACGCAAACAGAATAATCAAGTAAAATGAAATAATTGACAGAAAAATGATACACAACAATTAAATGTGAACATGCATTTTTTATATGATTTTTGTTTAATAGACGAAAAGAAAAGTTTAATTGGTTACGCATTTTAACATGGACGAGAATTAATAGAAATGTTTTTTAAGGTTTTTATATTTCTATTTTTTATGTCTTTTTTATATTGGTATTTAAAACGAGGGGAGTAAATTAAAGAAAATAACATGTCTTTTAGTTTCTCATTTTATATGTTTTTAGAGATATTAAATATCCTTTTAAATTAAACTTACAAACCATGAATTTAAATTGAATTAGAAAATAGTAAGACTAAAATTATTAAATAACATAAATTTAAACTAAATAAGATTTGGGTAACTAATATTAAAAATTATCTATTAAAATTATATGTTATTCCTAAAAAAAAACTAACTAATCTAAATTAATTAAGTTAAGAAAATGAAATAAAATTAAGTAAAGAGTAAATAAAGATGGGGTGGATAACAATTAGCAATGGGCTTTAGTGTAAGAAAAGAAGAATGGGCTTAGTTGAGGCAAAAAGTGGAGCGGGTCATGGAGCGGGTCGAAGAACAACAAATGCTGTAATCGAAAAAAAACCTAGGAACGCTAATGGCCGCCGCTGGATCCCTTCCTCCCTTCTCGTTCCGATTCCTTCACGACCCACTTCATCATCAAAGCTTGGCCTCCTTCACGGTTGACTTTTCGATCTTATCGTTTTTGTTTCTGAGCTAATTCCTGCATTCTTGACAATCGCAGGTTGGGGTTGTGGTGATGGTGATGTGCGTTGGCAGTTTACAAAGAAACTATGAAGATAAAGTTGCGGATTCAATATTGTTGTCAATGAGGAAGATTCATGAAGATGTGAAGCAGAGAAAATTTAGAGAAATCTTCGAACACTTTTGGTGAGTTCTCTCTGGGAATTTTCTTTCTGTCATTGTGATGTTGTTGTATAAGGTTCGAGAGTGTTCTGTAAAACTTGAATTCGATTTAAGATTTAGATTGGCAAATGGTTGTTCTTTATGAATGATTTGTGCTTTTGAATGATGGATTGTTATTATTACAATATGCAAATGGCTTGCGGGGTTTGATGCATTGAATGGTTTCATGAAGACGATGATGTAATGTGCAGAGGAATATAGGTTAGAGATTAATATTGTGGGATTGAGATTATGGATCCAAGTTAGAGTGAGGTTTGCAGAGTAAGGGATTATGAAGGCTTAGCAGAAATTGTGGTATGGTTTTTTGTATATTTGAGCGAGGTTATTGGTGATTTTGTAGAGGTTTTTCTTATGCTTATTAATTTGTTGGTTTCAGGTTGAATGTGTTGCTGATAAGATTGTATTGAATGGTGGTTTGTAATAGAGATTATATATGGTTTGCTGTGAAGATCGGTTGAATAGATGGAGAGTTACAATGGAGGATTTGGAAGAGATTTTGCAATGTTGAAGTGGTTTCTTTGGGAGAGGTTTTGAGATTTTTTTTCTGATCTTTTTCTCTGTATTTTTTTAAACGTAACGAAACAACAATGACAACACTGTCGCAAATTCCAGTTTCACGATGCAACACAACAATAATATGATGCATACAGGGAATTATATTGATATCATAAATTGAAGGAAAGAAAAATAACTTACATGATTGGAGCTAGTTCGACGAAATTTAAACCTGGCTAGGGAGAAAATGTCAGGTATGACTCTGAATTATTCTCTGCTTAAAACCTTATGTTCGTCATCTATTCTCCTTCTTCGATTTTATACCTTTGAGAATACTGTTGGTTTGTTGTTTTTGTAGATGAGGGTCTACAATTCGAGGGATTAGTGTGTGAGGCTTTGTTGGTATGAGGTTTTTTTGAATGTCTTATGCTAGACAGAATGGTTTTGAATATGCAGAATGAAATATGCAGGTTTTTGAACATGCAGAATGGTTTTGGCAATATGTAAAAAATGGTTTTATGCAATATGCAGTATGCAATATGCAGGTTAGGAAAATATGCAATATGCAATATGGTTTGGCAATATATTATTTTGCTTGGCTTCGTTTTGCAGTAATGTTCCTCTCTGTCAAATATGCTAGCTTGGACTTCCTTTTGAAGGGATCCCTTTCTCATAGCCGTTGCCTTCTATTCTCATGGCTCAGGTTTTGAATATTTAATATATTTTTCTGATGTTCTGCACAAATGCTGCTGCATATGGTTGACTTTATTCCCAATTCATGCTTAAAGCAAAACCTGCAAAAACTAAACCTCTTCTTCTCTCTACCTCAAGTACAAAACTGATATATGAAAATGATATTTTGTACTGCTGTATTCTGAAAAAGCAGGCTGGAAGATGATGAAAAAAGGAAAACACTTGCTTGCACACATTGATTTAAGCTGCATATTACTCTTTGTCTTGCATGGGAGCCTAATTTTTTGGACTCTTCTCAAGTTGTTGCATAGGTTCACGTTGCCTTTTGAACAATGCATGTTTATGCATATGCTGTTACTTTGTATGCTGGGTGTTTTTTTGAAATATGCATTGGATTTTTGGAAAATGCAATTAATTTTAAATATGCAGTTTTGAAAAATAAAAATGAATTTGGACATGTTTTAAACTGTGCATTCATTTATGAAACAAAAATTCCTCCCTTTTTTGTGAACCGGGAGAAATCCCGTGATTTGCAAAAAAGGGTAAACTGGTTCCAGCCGCCTGCTTTTAATGATGAACATTGAATTTATTTTTCTGCATTTTAATTATTTATTAAATTCTGACTTTCTTTTAATTGTTTTCGCAGGTAAAATTAAATGAGCAGACAAAGAGTATTGGATAGAAGATTAGAATTAGAATTTAGGAAAATAGTTTTATTTACTTTAAGCATTTATGTAATGGTTATTATAAATACTTTGTACAATAGTATTTAAACAACAATTGTAATAAATAGAATAAAGTGAATAAAAATTCTATTATTTCCCAATTAATTCTTTTTCTTTCCAATCATTTATTTATTGTTTATAACTCTTTAAATTATATAATGACTGAAAATCAAATCCAATCATTTAAATTCAGAATGATAAACAAATAAATAAACATCATTGATCAATTAATAACTTCAATTATTTACTTGATTATTATTTTTAATTCTTCTAAATTATAATAACTTAAAAAATAGAATTTCAGCTATTTAAATTTAGAACAATAAATAATCAAATAAACATTGCTTGATCAATTAATATACTCATTTTCAAATGTTTATTTCATTATTCATAAACCTTCAAATTATATAATAACGAAAAACAGGTTCCCATTATTTAAATTTAAGATAATGAATAATTAATAAACATTATTTGACCCATTAATAAACCTTTTCTCGAATATTCTTTTTATTATTTATAAGTCTTTAAATTACGTAATAATCGAAAATAAATTCCAATTATTTGAATTTAAGATAATAAATAATTGATGAACATTGTTTAAGTCTTGATCAGTTAATAAATTTAGCGTTCAACAAATAAACAGCTTCCGACTCGAAAAAGTTATGAATTTTTAAACTGTTTTGAAAATTGGATAAAAATATGTCAAAACCCTTGCAATGCGAATGATGCAGATGAGAGACGGTATCTTAGGTCAAAATTTGGGGTACAACAGCTGCCCCTATTTAAGTTCCTTCTATCCGGAGATATGAAGATTAAAGTCTTCGTCTCGACGAGATTGAAGGTACTTAAATACATAATTACGCAAATTTTGTCCTAAGATGCTGTCATCATGCGGTGATATGAATGTAGTGTTGAATTCACAGAGAAAGATATTGTGTGAAACAAGATAATGTTGGGGGAATCGAACACCAACAAAACACAGCGGCATGGATTACATTACTGGGGAAACGAGCTATCGACTTCAAACGACAGACTCCTGACAGCGAATAAAACTGAGGGAATACGACCCCTAACCCCAACAAAGAGAGCATCTTGCATAGGCCATAACAGATCGTTGATCCAAAACAGTGAGTTCGCAACTCAAGGTCGACGGTAGACAGAGAGTATCAAATTGCTGATAACAGATTACCGATTCCTGAAGGTAATGATTCAACAAACTTTCTTCGTGAGACCTCCGGAGAGAAACCAATTAATGCTGCAGTAGTAAAATTGTAGATGCGCAAGTTGTCCAAATAAAGAAAAATGCCACTGGCCATCCATGGGTGTCAATAACATACAAGTTGCTCAAATAAAGAAGCTGCCACCTGCTGTTTTCCAAAAACTAACAACGCGCAAGTTGCTCAAATAAAGAGACCGCCGCCTGCCGTTCAAAGAAAATACCAAAGCATACAAGTTGCTCAAATAAAGAGGCTGCCACTTGCTGTCGTCCAGAAAAAGAAAATACCAATAACATACAAGCTGCTCAAATAAAGAAGCTACCACTTGCTGTTTTTCCGAAGAAAATACCGATAACATACAAGCTGCTCAAATAAAGAAGCTACCACTTGCTGTTTTCCGAAGAAAATACCGATAACATACAAGCTGCTCAAATAAAGAAGCTACCACTTGCTGTTTTCCGAAGAAAATACCGATAACATACAAGCTGCTCAAATAAAGAAGCTGCCGCTTGCTGTCGTCCAGAAAAGTAATAACGTACTGGTAACTCGTGAAGAGTTTGCTGCTTGTCGCTGTCAGAAAGAATAAATGACGCACTAGTAGCTCGTGAAGAACTGCTGCTCGGCGCTTTCGAAATAGACAAAATGACGCACTAGTAGCTCATGAAGAACTGCTGCTCGGCGTTTTCCAAAAAGGATAAGAGACGCACTAGTAGCTCATGAAGAACTGCTGGCGTTTTCACAAAGTCATAACTGACGCACTAGTAGCTCATGAAGAACTGCTGGCGTTTCAGAAAATAAATAACGCACTAGTAGCTCATGAAGAACTGCTGCTCGGCGCTTTCGAAAAGATAAAATGACGCACTAGTAGCTCATGAAGAACTGCTGCTCGGCGCTTTCGAAAAAGTAATGTACAAGTTGCTCGTGAAGAGCTAACGCTTGTCGTTTTCCAACATAATTCAGAAGGAAACTGCGATGATATTGGCGGAGAAATAAAATCTTCATCAAAGAGAACCCTGAATCAATCCTTCCCGAGGAGATCATATACTTTAACGTGCAAAATAAATGCACCAACCGTCTTGGTCGCAAACCCACTGGGGAAAATCAAAGAGTATAGCCTATGCAAGAGGCAACAACTTCATCCAGGAGTAACCAGAGAGAAAACAGTCAAACAAGACTCTACCCAATGAGAAAGTAACTCGATTGGGGAATTCATCCTATCCAAAAATGGACAAGGTAAGCTGAATCAAAAGTCATCCACGAGGATTAACTCAGTTGGGGAATTAGAAAGGAGGCGCATTTTATGCTTAAGTTGGCACTCTATTTGGGAAAGATCAAATACGTTATTTGAAAAGACACAACCAAGGTGTACGAATTCAAAGACATCAACAGATACAACTGTGCGTGCATGATGCAAGTGCGAATGAATGTCATGAATGTCATGTATATGCTGACAAAACAGACAGGGGAGACGGACAGAAGATGATAAGACATCACAGTACAACCCGGCGCTCGGCTAATCTCAAAAGGAGGGGAACATCACTGGAGATAGAAGACAAAAGCCAACAATGCTGTAAAATCCTTCTACAAGGCTTAAATCTCTTGGAGAGGAAGATATTCAACCCAAAGTCCCACCTTCTATCGTCGACAACACGAACAAATCTTCTGCTGGAAGGAGTCACGCTTAGCTGGAGATACCGGGAATACCACCCTCCGATAAAGTGTGCAATGCCTAGCACACATTCTGACAAATCTAGATTGCCCCTGGGTCCAAAATTGGATGCCCCAAATTACTGCTGACGAGCTGCATGATGCACGACGATTCTTGCGAATAGCTTCACTTCTACAAATCCCCCAAGCTAAAAGGTTGACGGCGAGAAAATCGTCTAACGAGGGTTTTACAAAAGACCTGGCATTCACCATGCTCTGGTGTCTTCAAACTCTTAGAGGAATTTATCAAATCTCGACGCGATTGCCCCGGATTGACTGTAGTCGGCACAACAAAGTCTTCGAATTTTTGCCCCAATCGAGCAAACAAGTTGGGAAAAGCATTAATTGGGAGAAGCAACATGTTCGTGCTTAAGGTCTTCAGCTGACATGTCCCTGGATATGATTTTTCTTGAAATGATTCTCCAATTACTCAACATAGTTTCAAGCCTTAAAAGAATAAACTCATCACTGCTGCTTATATGTGAGCTTCCTTGATATCAAACAAATGTTTTGCAGTTAGAAAAGTTTATTATGAGAATGAAAATTCTAATGCAACAGTTATGTAAGTCTTGAAGATTTTGAAA